TTTGTATAATTTCATATTATGTATATCAACTAAACTCTAAGGATATTGGTAGTCCTAATTATGCTATGAATTATCTTTCTATTTTTAATTCATGTACTTTTGGTTTTGAAGCTTAAAGTTTTTCAATGATTTATTATTATTTTCAACAATTTATCTTACTGCCTGGTTATGGAATGCATTTCATTTTGTAAAAAATATCTCAAATCAGGATTTGATTTTTGAAAGAGGGCTTACTACGCAGCCTTAGTTGGCCTCTAGCTCAGAGATTCTAGCCTCTAGCCCGTTTCTTCTGCCTTTTGAGTGCTGGGATTAAAGGCGTGGGCTACCACACAAACTAGGGTGTCTTTTTAAAATAGGAACATGTTTGACATTTGACCCCAAGGAAAACACAAATGATCCACCTTTATACTATAAAGTCAAATGCACACACGCCACCCCCCTCCCCCTCATCCCTGAGTTCACCTCTGCCTCTTGGCCAGCCATCGACCTATTTTCCTAGTAAGCCCGGGCTGCAACTGTTAACCTGGCTGAGGCATAGTTGGAGGACGACCAGGCAATCACACTGTGTTCCTAGAGTTCAATGTTCAGTGTCCGTTTCATAAACCCGTTGGTGTGTGAAGTTTTATTTTATTTAGAGTTGCTAACATAGTAGAAACCATTTGGAAAAAAAAAAAAAAAAAAAAAAAACCCAGAACATGGGCTGGTGGTATAAATGTCACTTTAAAATATCCGGTCGATTCATCTAGTTTTTGTTTTATTATTAAATTTGTTCGTGGGTTAATTATGACTATTTGTTTAAAACCTCCAAATGCATGAATCACCTTTTCCTTTAGATACTTCTATCTAGAGACAGAAAGATGGTTTATCTTCCAGTCCCCTGGCATGTGTGAAATTCCTCCCACCCAGGGCAGAAATGTGAGGTGAGTATCTGGGCTGGTTTATCTTCACAGAAAAAGCAAGGGGCAAATACTATTTGTTTTGCAAATAGCCAAAGGGCCAGGAAGAAAGGTTCTAGGCAAACCTTCTTCTCACTGACACTTACTTGATTCACATTCCAGCTCCCTCCTCCACTTCCGGGACTCACCAGGCTTTTAGTTCGGATAATCACAGCATTAGTATTCCCAGGCTGAGTTCCTCTGGAGTTATTCAATGGCCTGCATTTGGCCAGCACCCTAAGGCTCTTTTTGTATGAAATGCTAATTTCTTTTATGTATGTATTCTTCTTGTTGAATTTTAAAAATGGAACATTAATATAGTATTAAATTTCACACTTTCATCCCCCCCACCTCCTTAATATTAGTCTGTGTCCCTTCCAGCGACAATGGAAATCATATTACTTGTAAAAGGAGCCCAGTGACATGATGGCTAAATAGCAATAATAATAGCTATTTCCCTGCAGGTCACACTAGCAGAGAATGACCCAGGTGACTCCTGAGCATGAACAAACAGCAGGGCATGATAATGCCCACTTATTCTCAAATACATGCATATTAAGAAAAAAAATCTTTTTTTATGTGCATTGGTGTTTTGCCTGCATGAGGGCGTCAGGTCCCCTGGAACTGGAGTTACAGACAGCTGTGAGCTGCCAAGTGGGTGCTGGGATTTGAACCCGGGGCCCTCTGCAAGAACAGCTAGTGTTCTTAACCACTGAGCCATTTCTCCAGGCCCACATTTAAAAATTTTGAACAGAGGCTGTTTGTTCCCGTTCACTCACTCTCCTTTGAACTGCTTTTGGCTCTCAGAGGAGACCAGAGTTTTGAAAAGACCTGAAGTGAAGACACTCCTTTATTCAGTGACCCTTTGTGGAGTCCCTCCTAGGAACCAAGTGGCAAAGTTAAAGATGCAAACATCTGTCTCTGGAGAAAGTCAAATCAGAGCGGAGAAGGCAGAGCCATTAGCCACACTGCAGCTTGTGTCAGAGGGCAGAAATAACACAAATTGCTAAACGGTCTTATTAATAATAATAAAAAAACCAAATCCAGAACCAGTTATTAGGTAAAAACTGAGAGATCAGGAAAGCAGAAAGAAGCCAGCCATATTCTTACCGCTAGAAATCGGCCCAAGAGACCTACTTCCTGTATACCCATGCCTATCTATATGCCTTTCTGTCCCTGCCCTCTTACTTCCTCTCTCCGCCCAGCTACATCACTTCCTGTCTGTCTATATAGACCTCCAGACTTCCATAGTCAGTGCTGGGATTAAAGGTGTATGCCAACACTGCCGGGCTCTGCCTCCCAGAATGTTAGCATTAAAGGCATATTCTACCACCACCTGTCATCTATGTTCGATATAGTGGCTGGCTTTTTCCTCTGATCTTCAGATAAGGTTTATTGGGGTGCACAAATAAAATATCACCACAGGCAGACACACAGAGAATTCCAAGAGAAAAGGAATCCTGTGAAATACAAGCCACTTAAAGGTTTCTGCGGGTACACAGGTGCCTGGAGTGGCTGTCCGATTTTCTGGAACTAGAGTTACAGGAAGTTGAGAGCTACATGACATGGGTGGTGGGAACCAAACTCAGGTCCTGTGGTGATATTTTGTGTATGCTCTAAGAAACCAAGCTTGCCTAAAGATCAGAGGGCAAAGCTAGCCACCAGTTAGCCATAGAGGCCAGGCCGTGGTGGCTCATACCTTTAATCCCAACACTTGGGGGTCTCAAGCTTTTAATCCCAGTACTTGGGAGTCACACTCCTTTAATCCCAGCAGTAGGGAGTTTAAGGCAGGAAGTGACAGGGCTGGACGGAGACAGGAATATACGGCAGGAGGAGACAGGAGCTCAATCCTTTTGGCTGAGGAGTTGGTGAGGTGAGAAGTGGCTGTGGCTTATTCCTTTGTCTCTCTGATCTTTCAGCATTTCCCCCAATATCTGGCTCCAGGTTATTATTAAGATCAAGTAGGGTTCGTGCAACAAGGTCCTTTGGAAAGCAGGAAGTGCTTCACTGCAGGGCCAGCTTCTAACTCCCCTGTGAGCTTTTTTGTTTTGTTTTGTTTTGTTTAATATATATTTTATTTTTATTTTTATTTTTATTTTTATTTTTTTAAGATTTATTTATTTATTATGCATACAGCATATGTGACTGCAGGCCAGAAGAGGGCACTAGACCTCATTACAGATGGTTGTGAGCCACCATGTGGTTGCTGGGAATTGAATTCAGGACCTCTGGAAGAGCAGTCAGTGCTCTTAACCTCTGAGCCATCTCTCCAGCCCTTGTTTTTGTTTTTAAAGATGGGCATGGGTTTCCAGAAGAGTTAGGTGGGTGACAGCAGGCTCAGCCTAAGTGGGGGTGAGAACAAGTGGTGGAAAGTCAGGCAAGGCCGGGCGGTGGTACACAACTTTAACCCCAGCACTCAGGAGGCAGAGCCAGGCAGATCTCTGTGGGTTCGAGGCCAGCCTGGGCTACAGAGCGAGATCCAGGAAAGGCGCAAAACTACATAGGGAAATCCTGTCTTGAAAAACAAGCAAACAAACAAAAGCCTGGGGTCAGCAAAGCCTGTGTCTCACTCATCCTGACACGGTGGCCCAGACCTGGCATCTGAGAGCTCACCAGGCTGAGGCAGGAGCCTGCCAGCTGGGTTACTGAGAGGCTGTCTAAAAAGCAATTGCAACAGAGCATGGTCCCATCTCACCAACAGTAAAGGCCCAAATCTTAACTGCACATTATCTGTCCAACCCCAACCCTATTATTTCCTTCCTCTGGGTCATCTTCCTCTGGCTGCAGGGCCTCCTTCCCTCCCTTGACTGGAACTGTCTGCCTTGAGGGAGTTCTCCAAGCATTAAGCTCTGTTCACCAGAGGCGGGACTCCCACCCTGAAATAGGAGGCTGCCTGTACTTCCCATCCCCCAGACAGGGCTTCCTCCAGGACATTTACAGTCATCTGACTCACCTATCTCTGCGGCATACTCGTCTTCCGGGCAGGAATTCTGCCTGCCGTTCCAGACAGAACTCTGGAGCTGAGAACAATACCCAGATTGTACTGAGCCTGCACATCGCAGGCATTTTGTGAAGAAGCAGGAAAACAGCTTCCTGTTCTGCTCATGCAATGGCTCCTGAGCCATTGTAAGAATCTCAATTTTAAGTGACTAGGTGAGAGGACCTGAGTCCTTGGGATATCTGGGATCGAGGAAAAAAAATACCAAAGGAACCAACTTGTCACACTGTTTGATACCATGGCTTTCTCCTTAAAACAAAACAAAAACAAAAAAACCTGTTAAACCAAATGCATGTTAGAGCTCTAAGAGGAAAAGGAAAGGGTGCTGGTGCTGATGAAGGCCAAGGAGATTCTTCAAGAGCTGGAAAAAAGGCGTGGGGGAATCATAAAATAACACTGTGAAATGGTTTCAGGGTTTTTTTTTTTTTCCCCCCCGAGACAGGGTTTCTCTGTGTAGCTTTGTGCCTTTCCTGGATCTCACTCTGTAGCCCAGGCTGGCCTCGAACCCACAGAGATCTGCCTGGCTCTGCCTCCCAGTGCTGGGATTAAAGGCGTGTGCCAACACCGCCCGACCCGTATTTTTGTTCTTATCATTACTATTTATCAGGGTTCTGTGATGATGAGCAAAATCTGTGGCCACTTCAGGTGGTCAGAAGCAGCTGAAGCTGGATGGGTGGTCCCTAAAGGGGCCCACAAGCCACCAACACCCAAATCACCTTAAGCTTGTTACAGACACAGGGCACAGGGACCCTTCTGAAGCTGCTGAGTCAGGAGATCTAGAGCCAAGGCTGGGGAAGCTGGGAGCTCTCCAGGATTGCTATACATATTGCAGTCTAGATGAGTATAATAAGAGTAGCAGTGCTAGGTGTTCTTTTTGTTTTGTTTTGGTTTTTTGAGACAAGGTTTCTCTGTGTAGTTTTGGTGCCTATCTTGGAACTCACTCTGAAGACCAGGCTGGCCTCGAACTCAGAAGTCTGCCTGCCTCTGCCTCCCTAGTGCTGGGATTAAAGGCATGCACCACTACCACCTGGCTACATTGCTAGGTTTTAAACATAAAAAAAAAATTATTATTTTTTAAAATGTCTTTATTATTTGAAACATAAAAAAAGAGTAAACAAAAGTTGGTATTACATTTCATTTTTGATGTAGTCTTCTCAATAAAGGTATAAAAATACAGGGCCACTTAGTTTTGTGAGCTTGTAAAAAATGTCTAGACAATCACACTTACAGGACAGAAAAGGCATTTACAACATACAGTGAGAGAGAAGATAAAGCCAGTTCACAGGTATACAACTGAAACTACCTGGAGAAAGATTTCTCTGTTCCCACACTGCTAGGGCTTCGTTTTCTCTCCACAGATAGCATCTGCCCGATACACAGATGTGTTTGGCCTTTGTTCTCCATGCCCAAAGCTAGCTGCCTTGAATTTGCCTCTTTTCTAGTCTGATTGCCTATTTGTTTAAAGAGAAAGACATATTCTTAACTTGTAACCAAGATCTTTCAGAATGCCTGACTCGTTTTCACTTCAAATCACAATTCATTAAAAAAAATCAAATAAAAGATGCAATTTCTTTCTAGATAAAAATATACTTATTCAGCCACGAGCATCACCCTAAGCAATAATAGACGTGATTTATGTGTATCTACTTGAGTATGTATTGTTCATCATTTTGCCTTTTTAGCACACTGAAATCACACAAACATAATCTCTGTGAACTTGGATCACAAAGTTCAGTATGACCCAGACCACTCAGCGTGTCCACCTGTAATTCATGCTTCACATGGTTCTCACTCCCAGCAAACAAGGAAAACTGCTCTGCACCGTTGCTAATCAAAATAAGCTTATTCTGGCTGTGGAAACTCTCTGGGAGCATCTTTTCAAGGCATTAGTAAGAGTGTAGTTTTTCTGACCTGAAAGAAATATGAGCCAGCTCAATAATGCATTTTCTACATTTCAGATGCTATTCAAAAGGAAGTGAAGGATTTCACACCAAGGGTGTGTTCGCCTAAGAAATACATTAATTATCTTCAGGTAATTAATTGCCTGAACATGGTCAATCGAAATAATTTAACAACGAAATCTTGAGGTCTGGTTACTTTCCTGGTGGGGATTTGCACTTTAAATAAAAGCTGACATTTCAAATAATATGAGTGCATGTGTGTGTGTGTGGGGGGAAATGGGGTGATTTAAATGCCTTATAATTTTATTACTGCAATTATAACTGGGAGGAGCTTAAATTGATCCTTGACATTGATTTATGTGTTTAAGTTGGTTCTGAAAAATGGCTTCAACCTTTTGTTCTGTCGCTCACCCTCTGAAGAAGCTGTGCTAATTAGTGCTTGGTGGGGTGGACCGCCTTTGCTACCTGCCTGAGCATGCGAATGTGTCATCATTTATTGGCCTGTGCGCACACACTTTCTTGGTCAACTTCTCTGCTGGATGACACTGAAAAGCTTTTGCTGATTCTCAAGGCAGCCTTTCAGCTTATCTTCTGTCAAAGTCAGTCGCTGCTCCAGAATTGAAACAGTCTGCAAAAAAAAAAGAAAAAAAAGGAAAAAAAAAGGCATGAAAGCCTCAGTGCTGGTAATCTCATGCCTACCTAGAGCGACAGTGCAGATCCAAGGCAGGTCATTTAGGACTTGAATATCAATCACCTGCCCCCAAATTGGCTAAAAAAGGGGCTCCCAACTCATTGCGCCACTGAGTCCACCTGCAGAGCAAAGCATTATTAAGTATTGAAGATGTTAAAAGACCTGCCCCCATCTCAAACAAAACAAGAACAGGGGAGGGAAGATCAGGCCTCTGGGGAATGTTCTTCCATCTGGGCTCCGGGCTTCCAGGAGCTCAGGAAGTCTTCACCAGGAGGGATGAGGCCATCCACAGCATTCTAAACAATGCAGGTGAAGCTACAGATTCCTGGCTCAGGTGCTACAGCCATGTCACCCACCACTGGCCCGGCTGTCACCATCCCGACAGCGCTACAGACAGACGGAGTGAGGGACTATAAAAACGCCATGATGGCCAGCGGTTCCTCATCCAGGTAAGGAGATGGGCGGCTTGGTGGGAGGACCGCAGTGTCTAAGCTATGGTGCTGCTGGGCACGAAGGACTTGGTGGGGTCTAGCTCTCTTAAGTCCTGGCATAATGACATGTTCTCATAATAATACAGTCATAGGGAGATGTGAAATTTGAGAAAAATAATCGTGATACCGTCCAGTCTTTTATAGCTTTTCTTAAAAACAAAAAACAAAAACTCCTTTCCATTATAAACTAAGATACAGACCAGGAAGCCACACAAAACTTATGCATTACTTAGTAAGTTCCCCTAAGAGACCAGTGGTCACTTTCAGTCACCATCTAGAGCTCTCCGCGTGGTTTTCACAATTTCATCCTTACCTTTCCATCCTGTCTTTCTTTATGCTGACCTTTATAAACACTTTTGTACATTTCCGTATGCTTTTAATTCCCCAAAGTGAACTGCCAGGAACCACGACTTCACATTCCCATTTTCAAGTCTTGGCGTGTTCCTTTTAACCTGCAAGTTCACACCTCCCTTTTAACCTTCAAGTTCACACCTCCGCCTTTCTCTTCTGGACAGTCAAGCCTTAGCAGGCCCAAGCCATTTGTCTGTGACATTTATAATAATCTGTACTTTGGGACTACACAGTACGATCCAGTCCAGCCTACCAGCTTCCTCTGCAGATCCCAGGAAGTGGAAGCAGGGCCCTAAACCTTAGCCTGACTGGAGCCATTGGTGATCTATTTTCTCATGAGAGGGCACACCGGTAATGCCGGGTGTTTCTCCTTCGGTGATGGTTCAGTGACTAGTCACCGGGGAAACGGAAAAAACTTATCATTCACCTTTTTTTTTTTCTTAATTGGTACACTTTATAAGTAAGAGTTCCTAGGAGGAGGGAGGGAGATGGAGGGGAGTGTGCAAGCATTTCCTCATGGACTGACTACTTAGTTATCCAGTCATAGACTTCATCCAGGGAAGGCAAACAAGATAAAGGAAGACAGGGAAGAGATTGTCCATCCTTCTCTGAAGGTAACAACAATCACTTCAAAGCTTTTGCTTTCATATTCCATAGAACAGTTCATCGTTAAATAAAAATAATCATGATCTTGCATTTTCTTAAATGTCTATTATATTCATACATGATACACACATACATGCATAATTAGTTACCCGTGTTAAAGTTGTGTGTATTATCAGTATCTTTAACACTAATTCCTTTATCTGCTTCTGAGTCCGCTTGATCTTGCTCCCCGCCCCCTTTCTGTAACAGTTCTAAATCCTCCATCTTAGGTGACGGCTCAGAACATGTTTACTTTGCTTGCAACCTGCCCAGACTCACTGTTCCTCTGCTGCAAGCCTGCTCCGTCTGCCTTCAGCTCTTTAATGTATGAAGGAAATGAACCCTTTAAAGTCAACAATAACACCACCATCGTGGAGTGCAGGAGGACATAAAGTGACCCATTATCTGGGAATCCGGTAAAAAGGAGGAAGGAGCCGAGGAAGGTGTGGGGGTGTGTGGGGGGGAAGAGCCTCCTCTGGAGAGTCCTAAGGAGGGCCTGACTGACAGGAGACAGTTAGGGAAGAAAGTCCTGTCCACTGAAACTGAAGGTGGTACCCGAGAGGTCAGTGGTTTTTAAAGGAGAGAAATGTTCGGTAAACACAAGGAAGGTCACCTGTAGCACAAGATTTCAAAGCGAGAATGGGTGAGTTGAATGCGATTTTTAGTGAACAACTGTGACCCCAATGTCTCCCAAGGCTCTTTCTCACACTATGTCAGAACTCCAAACCCACAGACACGCCACTTCACTCCAAAGGCCCTGAGATGGAATGGGCAGGACAAAAGTCAGTCCTTAATTACTGCTTCTGTGCACTGGGAGAGCCACGGAGTCTTCTTCAGCGCCTGATGTTTTCACCTGAGACGGACAAGGGAAAAGGTCCCTTGCGGAAGAGAGACCTGGACATTGCATGATTCTAGCATCCCAGTGGTAGATGCACAGCCAGAGTTGAGAACGGAGGGGATTTCTATACAGGCGGTGTTGGAGATTGAAATATTTGTTCTGGGCAAGAGACTGACGTTGCTCTGTCTCACACATTTACCCCTTGCTCTGTATAATGTGCGCACTGACCAATACTGTACACAGCAAAGATTAAGTGTACACAATGAGGAGACAACAGACGTCTCCCAGGGACACAATCAGCAGATGGGGAGAGAAACAATGGCTGTTTCCTCTTCAACACAAGGCTTCCCTCGTATTAGGTCTGGAAGAATTTTAGAACAGTACTTAAGATTCATCATACTTCTTCTCTGCCGTGGTAAATGGCCTTAAGACACTGGCTAAGATTCTAAGATGGGAAGACAAGCCATTTCCTCGGGAAGAAACTCTGGAGAGAGATATTACCCACTTGGCAGGCAGAGGATTTTCAGTGAAAAACTATAAACTTTGGTAAGATTTTGTACTACAAAGGAGTGTTTACTTACAATAAATTTTTCTTATGCTATTAAATATTTCTTTATAAGTGACTAATATAAATATAACTACATCATAAATTCAAAGGATAAAACATTACTGCTTAAAACCAAATAGCATTTAAAGCACAGAATACCACTGCCATTTGCACAAATGATACAGGATGCCAGGATGCCAGAGAGCACAGG